TGTTTTGAAGTTTCTGCTCCATACAACATGGCTCTCCCACTGGTCAGTAATGGATTTCCAAAGTGTCATGAGGGTTGCTGTTGAGGGATAAAGATTCTGTTCCTTTTATGTGCCATTTGCAACTTTTTACATAGTCTATCTGGGAATCACAAACTAAATGACGTAGCAGTACCAAACATTCCCCAAAACACGAGATTTTGTCATGTATATGGTTGGAGATCGTACTTTCTCTCTATATAGTGAGCTTACGTGTGGATATTTTTCTTTTCCTAGTAAAAAACCTCATCACCCAAAAAAGTCTGATGGTGATGTTCAGAAATGCGACACAGCTGATCCTGAAGCTGAAGCCCTTAAGGAGAATGTGGTACAGAAAAAGTTTCATGAGTATTATCAGTCAATTTAATTTTAACTTAATTCATGCCATGCCTGCATTAGATGTGGGGGAGAGGGAGACCTTTCGTTTGTTTCTTAGTACTTAATTGTATCCAAAATAACTAATCCTCCAGCTATTCCTGTGGGATGACCCAAGTGAAATGCTTGAAGCTACAGTCATTGTGTCAGCAGGGAATGTAATAGCTAGGTGTTCCTGGATCCTGTAGCCCATTCTCTTGCACATTTGGGAAGATGTTTTCTTCTTCTTTCAAATGTCGTCTTCATATCTGGAATATATGTTCTTAAAGAGCAGCATACTGAATGGTGTGTGTGTGTGTGTATGTATATATGTATATATATGTATAAAAATCCTTTGTACTTTTCAGTATTGCAGTAAATCCTGTTTATGAGAGAATTGATTTTTTTTTCATTAAAATTAATTTTGAATATGTGTTAGAACTAAACAAAAAACACTTGGTTTTGAATGAGTGTTTTTCCACACTTAGACCACAGTTGGTGTAAAATGCTTTTGGCCCTCTTAGTTTCCAGGGGCATACAGAGGAAGTTAACTGTCTGCAGGCTTGAGAATGTAGGCCTGTGATGAAAGGAGCCATACGGTAGTTTGCACCGAAGCTTTTTATGTATAGAAATTTGCTGGAGGTTTGACAATCGTGTTGTAAAATTCAGGACAGAGTGTTAGTGTTTCATCAGTAAACTGTGTGTATGCAGCGCTCTTGTAGAAGAGCTCTTGGTGTCACAAAGTAGCCAGAGAAAGGCCTGGGGCAGAGCGTGGGTAAAAAGGAAGGTGAGCAGGCACTGTTGGTCAGAGAACAGGTAATACTGGGCAGTGACTTCGCTGAACCAAAGGTCCGTGGGCTCCTTGGAGTGTTCCTGCTCTTGCTGCACGGCCAGCGGCTGACGCATCAGTTGGTCAGGCACCTCAGCGGGGTGATCGCTGTGCCGCGGTTCTGGCCACATGGGCCTAAGTAAATGTTACTGATGTGCCAGCCAGGAAGCGCTTTCCTGCGTTCTCTCCGTTTGCCATGTCAGAATTTTAAATGAGTAAACCTAGGGAGGTTTTTTTTAAAAAATTAATCTGCTTTTTATACAGCAGAAGGCTCTGCATACTACTCAGTTCCAGGCAAAAAAGAAGCGACCTTCAGAGGAGAGCACATCAGGTATTTCTGGTAAAGTAGTTTTCAAAACTCCCGTGTAGCTTTTCCTCATTCAAAGTGAATGCTTTTCCAAAGCTCAATGGTTTTTGTTTCTGGTTTGTAGCAACATATTGCTTCTAGAAATGGGAGGGTTTAGTTTCAGTTCGGTACATTAGTAATGGTTAAATTGAGGGGCTGGTGTGCCACACCGCTCTGATCCCCATGGTTTGCACCCATGGGTATGGAGCTGTGGGACACTGCAGTACGTCCCTTGGTCTGGAAGCCTGGAGCACCAGCTGTGGGGCGGAACTTGGAGGGCCCCTGACTTACAGAGCAGGCACAGCTGTCAGTATGCAGACCTTTGAGACAGGGAGCTTCAAGGCAGTGGCATTTTCAGTAGAGAGAAACTGTTTCTCAGGTGTCATCTGGCTTCCTTTGAACAGTAACTCATCACCTTCAAGTATTAGATTTACATCTGGGAGTGTGTAAAGAAACAAATGTTTTGTGGAATTAGTTAATAATACTATTGCCAAGAAACATTTTTATATAGTTTTTTTTGAATCAGATATGGTATGAAACTTACACAAATATAACAACTCCTGATTCTTTGAGTGATGCAGGTTGCCTAATCTCAGGCTAATAGTTGTTACAGCACAAACATCTATATCCATAGTACACTGTGTAGTTTGTCAGTTAGTTTACTAATGTGCTCCTAGACTTGCTTGAAATAATGAAGAATAAGTTGTATATCATTGATCATCCAAATTCTAAAGTGTTCCTAGATAAGTCTACCATAGTTGCTCAGCCAAGGAGAGATGAAATAATTCCTATATCCCTATCCTCAAGTTTCATGTTAAAATATTTGTAACTTTTAGATGGTTATTTTAATGGTGGGCACAATAACTTTTCTGTTATTTTAGAATGTGTACCTGAATTGTGCAATGCTTATCTTTATTCTGTTGTTTCAGAGGATAGCCCATGTTCTGTACAGGTTTGGTGTCCCAAAGAGGTGAAGAGATCTGTTAGAGATGTTACAGAACTGGATGTTGTTCTGACTGAATTTGAGAAAGTAGCAGCAAATTACAGGTAAATATTCTGCTTTCCTATGGGTGATATTTTTTGTATGTGACCTTGAGGTGGTCTCCAGGGGTTTGCTGTTTTTTCAAACATAAGAATAACGTATCTCAGCTGATGTTTTTCAATGTAGAAATTAATCTATTGCTAGTACGTGAAAGAGCTGCAGTTGCCTGTGCTACTAGCTGCTTAACACTGGGTTTTATTCATTACTCAAAGGAATGGTTTTGGATGAGATTTGCCCTTTACTAAACCAAATGGGTTGTGTTTTGTCCCTCTGACTTCTCCAGACAACGCGTAGAATCAAACATTTGCAGAAAAGCTATCAATGGCTTCTGTTCTGCTTTCCGGGACCAAATCACTGATCTTGTAAGTACGCCATAAATAAAGTCAATTTTGTGGTAGTGGTTATAGAGCTGTATATTACATTGTGGTCAAAACGCCTATGGTTTTATATTGTCCTTTTCACATTTATTTTATGATACTTTAAATTTTCGAATCTCTTGTCAGGATAAATAATATGAAAACACAGTTTGTTGTGTGCAGATTATGATTTGCTGCCTCTGTCTGGCTTTCATGACAATTGCCTTTAGACACAACGTGGCTGGTGTGCAAGTACGTTGCAAAATTGTCAGCTTTTGAGAACAGGAAGCATCTAACAATCCTGAAGTGTTTGTCTGTCTAAAGCATTATGTAGTAAAACTGGAGAGCAGAGTACTTTGAATGAGCAAACAGTTGCGTCAATGACTGTTTTAAAAAAGCTTATGGACCAGAGTTTTGAAAGGTTGAGGATTCAATCTTTATACTGCGTCTCAGTGACTCTTGTGTAGAGGCCTGACTAAGGCCTCTAACATAGTTCAGGGAAAATCATCCTTTTTTAATTAACAGTTTGAACCTAGCTAGAAAGCTTATTAACTTGGAAGACTAAGATTTCTTCTCGCTAATTACGAGTAACTTTGTAGAAATTGTGAGAAGTACAAGGGATAAGTACTGAAACTATAATTTTAAGTTGCCATGGTCAGTGCTGGGCTAAGATTTAGCAGTGACCTTGGTTTCTATGGGAGCAAGTATAAGCAAGAGCCTTTCTGCACACCATTCCTTGGCAGTAGCTATAAACATCGAGCGCTGTCACTACTAGAAGCAGACACTGTCTTGAAAAATATGCCGTTAATATTAGAAAGTGCAGTCACTTACAAGAGCCTTAGCTGAAAAGTAGAATCACTGAACGGAGAATCAGTTCTATTTTAGCTCCATCCAGGACCGTAAGCGATTCATTAGAACAAGCAAGTTTTAAAATTATTATATTTATACATTTTAGATAAAGTTTTGGAAAAATTAAGCTAGGTAGTACGACACTAATCAGTACAAGGAGTATTGCTTGCACTAACTGGTGCAAGATGACTAATTTTGTGCAACAGTTCCTCTGGCATGAGGAGAGAGGAAAGAACTGATAACACAAGTGATACACACTTGTCTTCCTTTGAACCGGTGTGGGTTTTTTAAATAGCTTTTTATATTATTCCATAGTAATTCTTGCAGCCATGTTGTTAGGAGGGTAGAGATGAAATCAAGATCCAGAGTCAATCTGTAATTCTTCTTTTCTTCTGTAGATAGTGGAAGTCCAGGAATTACAGAACACGAAGAAAAAAAATGCTAAGGTAAATACCACTAGATTGTACAGTGTACAGAGGCGGGCATTGAAATTTCAAGAAGTTGACTAGAGGAAATAAAATAATTCACACAAAAGGGTACTGTACTACAGAATCAGCTGCCCAGATAGAGGATAGGGAACCACCAGAGGTTTTTTGGAAAAGATCTGAGTAAATATGATGGATCACAAGCTCCATACACATGCTGTGGTACTGGTGTGAAAAGAAGGAAGGTGCTGTTAAAGAAACGCAGTCTGAACCCCACGTTTCCCGGAGGAGAGTTTCAGCATTGAATTGTACAAAAATGAGTAATTTAATGGACTGGTGCAGCAGCAGGGTCAGCTCGAGCTGGGCGCCTCCAGAGAGGGACCCCGAACAAAGAAATCCCTGGGCGTTTATACCCTTACAGACCACACATCCACCCTTCACGGGGTCTTCACGCGCCCTTTGGTCGAGTGGTGATTCTGGCCTGAGATCCTCCGACACCCCCTGACTCCTTACTGGGTTCCTATTCCGCTGTCTCCAGGCAGGCCATTATCTTGACTAGTTGTGCCTGCTGCTGGTAGTTGTAGCCTTGAAGCCTCCTCATCTTCGGGTTTGTGCTGGCTGTGGAGGCCTTGCCTTGCTTGAATGGGCACAAGGTCAGTACACGTCCAGTAAATCTAGGTGCAAGTGTACAGCTTGTGGCCTAAGGCTCCAGCAAATCTAGCTACTCGTGCTAAGTCAGTAAAGTTACGGAAACAGCATGCTAAATCACACAGCATTATAACTCTGATTTTTCCTGTTTAAAACTTAGTTAGTTAAACTAAACAACTAATATCTCTTAACGTGCACATTAGGATGTGTAGGTATCTATGCTTTTTTTTTTTTTTTTTTTAATGAGCACTGGTGAGGCCTCTGGAGAGCCAATTAAATATTGAGAGCTAACCTTCAAGGAACACAGATGAGTATAAAATCTAGGAGAGCAGCAGAGATGGTGACCTGTGAGGACAGAATTGGATCCCTTAGTTTAAAGAAGTCTAAGGGAGCTGCATTCCCCAAATATATACAAAATTTTTGTTCAGAGGAAGGCCGTTCCTCTGTTCATTCAGAGCGAGTAGTAATTGACTGAAAATGCAACAGGGGAGTGTCGACAGGAGGAGGAACTAGTGTAAGAGCAGAAAAACGTGACAGTGGTTTCATCAGGAGAGAGGTGAATGCTCTACAGCAGAGATAAATTTAAGTGCAGGTTAGGCACTGTCTGCCAGAGGCTTTCTGCCCAGATTAACATCTTTCACTAACTTTTTGATAACAAAAAAAGCTTTCAACAAGTAAAGTCAGCAGAAAGCTTATTCTGGGAGGTAGCAATTAATGTGCTAATGTCTTGTTAATTTGAGGTGATAGGGTAAGCTACTCTGCATGTAAAATTGAAATTTTAATACACATCTAGCATTCACAGCCGCTCAGTTATCCTTACTTTGCCTCTTCTACATTTGTTTAAAATCAGAGTTGTAGCTGCTAAATTTAAACTTATTATTATGTTTGAGTTTGTTTTATTGGGTTTTTTTAATTTAAATTGGATGCTGTCTTAAAGAAAGCTTAATTATGCTTAGTTCCTTAGTTATGGCAGTCATACTGAGCATACATTCGTATTAGTCTGCATTTTTAAAACAGAAACAAACAAAAACCTGCTGGAGTTGGTCATGTTTGAATTCAAAATGTCACAGACTCCTTTTGGATGCTTGTAAATGCAGTGTTCCTTAAGAGAAATTTTGGATGGAGGTGAGAGTTTGACATTTTAAAGAGCTTTAAAGTGTTTAAAATACAAAAGTAAAATATAGCAGTTTATAAGGTCTTGTATGTTGGAATGTTTGACACCCAGAATCAGAAGCATAAAACCTCCAAGAAAAAAAGCCAATGAAATTTGAGTTGTTTGCCTTTGGAGTTACAGAAACCATTCACAGACTTTCCTCACTCTTTGTTTCAGGTGATAACAGACATCAAAAAGAAAGGGCAGCAACTGTGGCAACTCAGAGAAAAGCTAATTGGGTATGTTTGTAATGATGCACAGTAATAGCCTGAAGAACTTAAGGAGTCTGGTCTTTTGTAACTCAGAAGTGAAAGTAACTTTTTTTGTTCCTTCATTTTATTTTGATGAAACTCTACTTCTGTTCTGTATTGCTCTCTGTTTTTACAGAAGCTCGGGATGACCTCTCCTGTCCATGTTTCAGTTGCCTAGATAGTCATTCTTGCAGGTTCTCTTAGGTAACTAGTTACTGGGATGGTATTTCAGACCGTATGTTCATAAGAAAACACTAACGTTACAATTGGAATGGCAAAGGTGATGAATCATAAAGTTACCAAAGTAACATGGGGCTTTTTGGTTTTGAGATGGGAGAATATATTTCATCTCTGCAGTTTGGCAGGGATGCTTCTGAGTACATGGTTTGCTTCCATCTTGTGTGGCCACACAATTCCCCTTCTCTAACTTGGTATTAATCTTACATATCATGTAGATACACAGCACAGACATTATGTTCTTTGGAAGAACCATTAGACTTCCCCAAATCCGGCTGGTTACTAGCGACAAGCCTTATTCTGAAGCTGCATATAACATACAGGCTGTAAGTTAATGCTGCAGGGAGCCATGGGCTTGGATGCACAAAGACAGATTCAAAGCCCTTTCTCTGTGGGCATGAGAGTCTTGTTTTCTTTGCAGTACTATGGACAAACTCACTTAAATGAACTAAAGGCATCCCTCAGTGTGGGTTTGAACCCCCTACCCCCCCCCCCGACTGAAAACTGTCTTCGAGGTTTTTATTTGTTGTGTTTTAATCCTTTGATCATCTTAAGAAAACTTTTTTTCTGCAACACTGTGAAATGAAAGTGGCTGTTGGTGTTCAGTTTCTGAAGTGATAGATCAATGGTGGAACCCCCCAGTTTACTTAGGCAGAGGCACATGTAGTTTGTGGCTCCTGAGTATGCTTCGGCATAAGCGCTGAACACCTCAGCCTGCAGGCAGGCGTCTGCAGAAGCAGAACACCAGGTACTTCAGAAGCTTCACTTGAAAAACTTAGGTGCATAAGAGGGAGTGGCCATATTGGCAGACCCAAAAGAGATGTGGAAAAAAGTTTGGGTGTTTTTTGTTGGCTTTGGACCCATGCTCCTGTTTAAGTAATATGCTAGTTGTTCTAATTAAACTATGTTATTCTAACTGATGTTCTGTATTTCTGACCAACCTTTCCCTTAAGTCTTCTTCAGAGAAAATATATTCATAGTTACTCATGAAAGAAATATGCAGATACAGTCATCAAAGCCTTCATCTTTTTCAGAGCTGAACCACAACTGACAAAACTACAAAGAGAGTATGCTGAGTTACAGGAAAGGGAATCTTCCTTGAGGCAAGCAACTGAATTACTTACTGATTTAAAGGAGCTACAGCAAGACTGTTTGGATTATAGACAAGAAAACCCAAAAGTAAAAGTGGTAGTAAGTACCTATTTTGCATGTGTTTCTGAACTGTTCTGGATCAGCACACACCCCCCACACACCCTCCCTTTTTTCTTTCCTGGACTGATGGGCATTTCTGTTAATGTTTAGCTTACATTAAATAGCAATATTTTGTTAATTGTCTTTGTGGAAGCAACTTGAGAATCATTGCTGTAACGGTACTGTGGTGTCGCACTCATTCTTTTTGGTCTCATGTTAGTAACTGCAGTATTTCAGAGAGGATTCTGCTTCCTTGCTGGCTATGTCCAGGAATTCAAAGGACATAGAAACATAACTGTTGTCCTCAGGTCTAACGTTTTGCACAGAAACTGAAGAAAGAGAAATAAGCAATCAATCTTTTTTTCTTGGTATTGTTCAAAGGTAGGGAAAAAATACAAGTCTGTTCTGTAATGCTAAGTTACCAGAGTAACTTCTCCTGAGGTCTTAGACCTCCTTCCCCTTCTACCGTGGCTCATGGCCTGGTGTGGTAGTGTCTGTTGACAATGCTACGTGCCTGCAATGTGTAAGGGAAATCCTACTATTTCAGAAGACTCTCTAATGTTGGCTGTTCTTCGCTTTTAAAAGTCCTATGGCACCGTTTCAGATAGAGGAAAAATAAATACAGATATGCAAGTGACTTTTCCAAGAGTTAATGATGTTGCCTTGTAATTTAATTTTATTTCATTTCCTTAACAACAGTATGGAACTTCCAGCCTCCCTGCTCTTCTGGTGGAGTCACGGAGAATTCTAGGAGCAGAGAGACACTTTCAGAATATTAATAGGAAACTGGAAGAGGCTCTGGCTGTACAAAGAGGGAAGTTACCAAAGAAACATTAAGCATTTTTTAATAGACTTTTTGACATTCGTTAGGAACAGTTATTAGAATGGTCAGTGCTTAAAGCTTGTTAATCATTGTTGTTCTATTTTGCTTCAATGTTTAAGTAAGTCAGTCAGTGACTTAATCAGAGATTGTATCTTTCTATTGTCAAATAGCCTGTGTGAGAACTTACTTAAAAAGTCAGTGAAACTAATAAAGTAGCAATTCCAGTTAAAGTTGTAAAACTTCTGTGCTCTGTTAACAATGCTGGGTTTTAATCTTGGGCTATTAAAGTAATGTGATCTTGACAGCAATACATACTTTTATAAGAGAACACATAGACTTTGAACTATTGATAGACAAATCTTTTTATTAAATTTGTATTTTAAATAAATAATTTCCTCCCATTTCTGGAAGTAAAGAAATCTATTTTACTTGGCTTATCAGTAAAACGTGGATATAAAAGTAACAAAACAGAAACTGCACAGCAGAGAGTGTTAAAAGTGCTAAACTTGGAGCAGCATTCATGACGAGTTTTCAGTCTGCTACTCTCCAGCCCCCATGTAATCTTCCGTGATCTTCTCATCCGGTTGTGAGGACAGCTGTTTGCTGGCAGTTACTCAGTTCTCTGCCTTACAGCGCTGGAGGAGGGCTTTTGAGCTACAGTGCAGCACCTTTCACAGAAGGCATGCGATACGCGAGCTTCATGGCTAGCATTTGCTAGCCAAGGCTCTGGTTAGCTGCCGCCTTTATTGCAAGTGTCCTGTTTCCTTAAAGCTTCCAAAAGAACTTCATCAGGAATTTCCTCCATGGCATAATCCAGACTATCATTTGCAGCTTCAGCTAGCTCCACATCTTCAGTAGCTTCTAGGAGTCGGGCATCATCACTTGCATTGTCCCACTCACTGTCTGACCACAGGAAGTCTTGAGACAAGCTTTTTTCTAGAGATACTGTGCTTTTTGACAGGTCTGACGCATTAGAATGTGGATTTACTTTTTCTTCTGTGTTCCCCCTCTCATCCATTAGTGTATACTCTTCTTCCTTTTAGAAACAAGAATACTACTTATTCTTCATACCTTTAACTGCTGCGATCTCGAAGTCTGAAACTCTTACTGTCACATGTAATGGATGCTACAGAAACCTGGCCAACAGGACAGATTTTCCAGCATGTTAATTTAGAGCCATGTTAACCTGTGGAAGCCTATTTTAACAGGAATAGAAATTTGCTGGTTTTCTGCAAACTACAAGTAGTCTGTTGTATACAGCTTCTTAAAATAATACAAGATTAAAACTAATTTTAGTTTGTAAAGATACTGTCAGTATCTGAAAATGCATTTAAATTGCACTTTCTGTGAAATAACACTAATAGCTACTGAAGATCTGCTTGAGTAGGGCTTAATGTGCCATTTTGCAGTATGACATTTGAAAGTGTAAAGTGTAAATTCAAAAGTTGCAAAGATGCCAGCTCTTACTGCCTACTTGGTGGAAAAACTATTATGTTCAGGGCTTAGAATCTAGGTGCAGTATTAGGTCAGTTTAAATATTCTACCTGTGAGGGTAAACGTAACTGCTTTAATACACTAAAATGGAGTTAAGTGAACTTCAGATGTGAGGGTCACTGACTTAAATTTGACTCTGACTGACTCCAGTGTTCCAGGAACACTCTGTTTTAGCTGGCCCAGCATGAAGCCAAGCAAGCACAGGAAAGCTTAACGTGGGCAGTTCTTCCATTCTGCACCTTCAGTGGCCTTGCGGTTTATGCACTGGGAACTGCTGTTCAGACCAAAACAGAAGAAAGTCTTTAGTCCCAGCTGAAGTTCAGCTGTTCCAGTAACTCGGCTTTATCTGTGCTGACAGTCTTTGTGCTAGATCTGCTGCTGGAGAACTTAACAATGAGCGTGTGGAGCTACTGCACCAGCATGGCTGCTCTGGGGAGCTATTCTATAGCGGTGTAACTGCTGTAGGGAGCTCAACAGACCGTGTTAGTGGGGATTTTCGATGACTTCCAGAGACAGCTTTACTCACAACAACTTCAGCATATTGATAGGACAAAAACATACCTCTCTGAAAAGGGATGGGAGACATATCCTAGGCGGTAATGGAAAACCTAAATCAAATATAGGTCATTAATTAAAGTGAACATTCCAAAAAGTATCAAGTATAATTGCTTTGAGATCACATACTTTGTGATTTGAAGTTTTTTTCTCTGCAGACTGGATCGTGACACTTTTGATACCAGACTTCCTTCTTTAGATCTACCAGAATCCTAAGAATGAAATAATTTAGTTTTTAGTAACAGTACCTAAATGAAGTGAACACATAGAATAGGAAATTCTGACACTAAATGAAAAGGTTTTGTTTGTCCCCATCTATGGATATTGCTTTCACAGTCTGACATAACATACTTGTTTTGTACAGTCTGGGTTGGTTTTTTTTTTCCCAATAAACTTCAGGCTTCTTAAGTTAAAAATATATTTCTTTTAAGACTAACATTTAAATGTGGAATTTAGTTAACTTCATCACATTAAGCTTGGAAGAAGAAGTCATTAAAGTAAGATTAGGATATGGGACCTAAGTGTGAGGTAAGATTTTGTTGCTGCTGTTACAGATAATTTCATTATAAAAATCACTATTTCTGGATAAGACAACCCAGCTTTTTCAGCTGTGCTTCAGAAACGCCAAGCTTCAAGCAACTCGCTTGAGAAACACCAAGTTCATCTAGTGTAGTAGCTGTGGGGGTATTTTTATACCCTTGTTTCTCAAACACACGCTCCTTATCTTTCAGTTATTTTATAAGTTACATAGAATTATTTAAGTGAACATATTTCTACCAATGATACACTGCAATTCTAATGCCATCTAAAAAACCCAACTTTTCAATGCTTATTTTGCTAAAATTACCAGAAGTCCCAGTCCTTGTAGAGTCACTCGCAAAATTCACCTTGACTGAAGTGGTGGCAGGAGTTATCTTTGTCATTTTAGTTACATAAAGAGTGTAATTTAAGATGCACTGTAAATGATTTAAAAGTGGTCTGTTTTCTTTCTCTTATTTCTGATTGTTCTGCTTCCTAGATAAGAAGCATCAACGTGCAGTACCACTTAATAGCTTTAGTGTACTCCAACTTGTATGTTAGCATCTTCAGGCATGTATTTTTAAATAACATGAAGATTACTTCATAGAAATAGTAGAAATACAAGTTCAGTTAGCACAATGTAAATTTGGGGGGGGAAGTTTGTTGGGTTGTTGTTTGTTTTGGGGTTTTTTTTGGTTTTTGTTGGGTTTTTTTTTTTTTAGAAAGTGTTGTATCCTCACAAAGCAAGAGAGCAGAAATTTTAACAGGTACTGATTCTATCTGGAAGAGGTTTTCAGCATTTTTATAGATTTATATTTATAACATATTTGTAATTTATATTATAATATAGATATATAATAAAATATAGCACAATATATTTGTAACCCTTACAACAGTTGAGCAGGAAAATAAAGCTGTTTTAAAGTGAATAGTTAATAGTTAAAGAACATACATTATGTTGTTACTTTTGTGAGCTCTTCCAATATTTTCACACCAACGGTAACCAGAAATGTCATATACAAGTATTTCTTCCAGAGAGAAATAACTCCATCGCCGTATCACTGGGGAAAAACAGTAAAATTAATTCTTTAAAAATACTGCTGCAGAACACTCATTTGTAAATAGTAAAGTGGTCCTTACCTCCTTGTACCCCATCTTTATTAACCAAAGAGTGAACAAAATAATCAATTTCTGGATACGGTGAATCCTGATAACCTTCCACGGAACCTGTTAAAACAAAGGCCACATATACATACTGGTGCTGGTCTTGCTAGTGTAGTATGTAGTTGTATGTTACACGGTATATAGACCATAGACATGAATCACTCCAAATCTTTAAATAAAACCAAGGATAAATCCACTGTTACTTCCCTGTAGGTCTTTGAACGGCTACCCCTACCCCCCAAGGTACAGAGGGAAAGGACAAAGCATGAGGAGGGGAGGGTAGATGGCATTCAGGTGCTGCAGGGCATCCTTCAGCGCAGCCATATCTGCCTACTGCAGACAGCGAGCTACAGAAAAGCCCCCCTAGAGGCTATCAGGTGTGCAAGTCACAGTACATCTAACTTAAGATTACTTTTTTTTTTCCTATACAGTAGAAAAGGCTTGAGGTACCTCTACTGCTGCTGGTAGTTTCACTGTTTGAAAAAGCAGACGTCTTTCTCTCCTCCTCTGAAAAGCCAGAAGACAGAACTTTTGTGTCATCCCTCACGCTGAAGAAAAGAGAGATTACAAAGGAAAATGCGTGACTGTTGCAGCATAATGTAGCATGGTACAACACACTGCAGCACACCCCAGTAGGGCATAACGTAACGTAGCCCTGGGCCACCGGCTCCGGGTGGCCCTGCTGGAGCAGCAGGGTTGGACCAGATGTCCTCCGGAGCTCCCTGCCAGCCTCCCCAGGCTCTGACTCTGCCCTACCCTTCGCTACCCCTGTAGCACTTTTTTCTTCTGCTTTTGACAGTTCCCTCCGCCCCGCACCAGCAGAGGGCAGGGTTTGCTCCTCCAGAACAGCCAAAGGGCTCCTGGCAAAGGACCCAGCCGTTTAAAGACAGCTGGTCCACACGCTTACAGCAGTATTTGCTCTAGATGTAATATTTATGCACCCATACGCTTGGAATGGTTTCTTCTCCCCCAAAAACCCAATGAACTGCTTTTCCTTGCCGTATTATAGCTGGAAGGCAGATGATCACAGCAGACTAGACTCAACGCAGCAGAATTTCTCCTCTGTATTTATGACAGACTCAGCTGATACCTGCGATCTGAATACACTACACAATTTATGCTACAGGGCTACTGCATCAGTTCAGGGTAACGAACACTTCAGGGCATAAAAACTGAAGTCACAAGAAATACATGTTTTTAATAAAAATATTATACATAATACCATATGGATGGATGTAGCATTTTAACCTTCTTTCTGCAGCAGTAATGATTAGGATCATCGTAAGATACAGTCAGTGCAGGGTAAGATATATCAGAGGTAGATCCGACCGAACTTAATAATGGTTACACTTTGGCATTTTGAGTGTGTATAGAGAGATGAGGCACAACTCAGAAGCTGTACCACATGTTCTTTAAACATTTGAAGGTAGGTTAAAAGAAAAAAAAAATCCCAAGAATTTTTTTTTCTTCAAAACCAAGGAATTCTACTGGAAACTGCTAAATTACACTGTGATAATGTTCATGGAATAACTGCCCATTGTTACCAGTTATTCATAACCACTTCAGAAGAAAAATCACTAAAATATGTATTTTAAAGTATTTTAAGTTCCACCGGGATTAAACAATTACCTAATGTTGCAGATCAAAGAGGAAAGAAAATATGCTTCTTCCAAGGAAACATTCTCTTCACAGTTAGGGACAAACTTATTATCCTCTGCTATCTTCAGAATCACATTTTTTCCTGCTTTTGATGATTTATACATCCGGAAATTTCTATTCCTTGTATAAACTCCTACAGGAAAACAAACATTTCATAGAATCATTAAGGTTGGAAAAGACTCTTAAGATCAAGTCCAACCGTCCAACCAATATTTCTTAATGTAACAATGCTGGCTAGGCTTTCAGATACTTAGTCCTTCCAAATTAAAGACCAGCTATGGGTCTAAGGAATGGACAAAAACTACTACTGACTTTGGCTCACATCCCATAGAAGAAATGCAACAAAGCAAGATCGTGCACGCATGTACATTTTTATGTTATAGAAGAATTAAGATAAACACTTAACACCTCTACATAGAAATTTTAATCACTCTGACATTATCATTGCTAAAAGTTTCCCTTCAGGATAAGAAATCGATGCTTTCACGTTAACTTTGTGAAATACAATTGAGCATAAAAAGCTCATTATACAATTATTTTAACCAGAGAGGACTTCATATTCATTGAACTTTCAGTTTTTGTGGACCAGTCACCACTTGTCTAAAACATGTATCAGGAAAATTTAATTCCAATCTCAAAACCAAACAGCCAATGGGGACTATCATCAAATTCTTTAAAGGTGAACATAGAAACAATTTGTTTTTCTTAAATTTCCACTCATGAACATGCTTGAAGGAATTTTGAACAGTAGGTGCAAAGTACTCCTTCTGAATCAGTAACGGAGGAGCCTACTATAGGGCCAACTTTGGGATTACGTTTCAACAAGTCAGACACTGAAGAGGCCAGCAATAAAAGTCATCCTGAATTCCACGAGCAGAATTTGAGGGAATGGGGGTTCTTTAGAGAAGTTCGAGAAGAAACAAGATGAAGTCCTCCAGTACATAACGCACTGCCTTACAAAAGCATGTGAAGTTATTTTCATTTCACTGAGACAGGGCAAAAAGCAGAGAAACCAGGTATGGGGATGGAGAAGGGTGGAACTTTCAAACTTTAGTTTGACTATGGGCGTTGTGCTCCTGGGGATTTTTAACATTTTAATACCATGAATAGGCTAAGCCCAGCTGGGCCAAGAAGTGCCCAACCTAACATTTCTATTATTCTGTCATTAAAACCTGACAACTGCCATTCCAAACAGGGGAAGAAGGCTCAACTTGTACATGTAGAACAATACAGAAGGCCACGCCTGTAAGACTTGTTTCCTAATTAAGCAGCTTCTAATTCCACTGAAGTGACAAAAATGCAATATACGCTATCCTCTTCTAATCCAAAAAGGAGCACCAAGTCCTTAGGAACAACATTAATTAAAGTCTTGTGTGTCACGAGTTTCTTCAAACTTCAGAACAAAATAATTAAATGTAGTAATATAGGGAGTTCCATGGACCAAGAATCTAACACTCCTTTAAGGTATAGTATTTACGATCAAAGTTTCAGCACTTACTGTAGTTGGTTTAAATTCTGACTGTAGGGACAATAAGAACACTGTTGTTCTTTCTATCTGTAATCGAAGATAAGGAACATCTCATTTCTCAACCTTTGCTGCATTCCAAAGAGGTTTGAAAGCACTTCTTACATATTTACCTAGATCCACAAAAAGTTGCTTGTCACCTTCTTTATCATTTACTATCAGAAAGGAAAATTCAAAATCCTCTCCCTGGTGTGATGTTTCCGTATCCTTTGTTTTGCAAGCAATGGCTGACCAGCCTTTGGAAGCATCTTCGACAGCTGTGAGGTTTGTAAGAGCACCACCTAATACAACTCCTTCTGCAGAACACTGGAAAACATGCCCTGCTCCTCCTTCTGGAATCACAGAAGCAGCTTTACTCTCAATTAACCTTATGGCGGGCTGCAAAATGGTTCTCACAAAGTTACCTTAAAAACAAATAAAAAACCCCCAAAGCAGATTAATGTCATTATGACTCAAGAAAGAACTTAACAGTTCCTGTACAAACATTTTTCAAAACAGCCAAGATGGAAGTGGCTGGAGTTTGGTGTTGTTTTTTTTTTTCCTCTTCTGGAATTTTTTAAAAAAAGAATTTTTTGACCAGCCCAGTGTACAAAATGGTTCCGGTTAGTAACTAAGAAACCCATGCTTGGCAAATATTTTTACTAAACTTTTGGGTTTTAAAACATGAGAAAATAAACAGTTGTGCATATATTAATTGTATCATACAGCCACAATCTTCCCCTTTGCAGTTTTACTACTGAGAACAGAGAGAACTGAGAAGTGAGATGGCTTGGCAACCACCTCATCAGAAATAAAGACAACAGCAGCCCGCTGCTGAATGAGGCGGGTGCCCTGGTATCAGAGGATACAGAGAAAGCAGAGTTACTGAATGTTCTTTGCCTCAGTCTTTACTGCTAAGGCCAGCCCTCAGGAATCCCAGACCCTGGAGCTAAGGCAGAAAGTCTGAGGAGAGGAAGACTTTCCCTTGGTCCAGGAAGATCAGGTTAGAGATCATTTAGGCAAACTGGACACTCACAAATCCATGGGCACCAACAGGATGCACCCATGACTGCCGAGGGAGCTGGCACATGTTATTGCTAAGCTGCTCTTCATCGTCTTTGACAGGTCATGGCAAGCATGATTGGTGCCTGAGGACTGGAGGAAAGCCAATGTCATCCCAGTCTTCAAAAAAGGGCAAGGAGTAGTATTCGGGTAACTACAGGCCTGTCAGCCTCACCTCCATCCCTAGAAAGGTGATGGAACAGCTCATTCTGGATGTCATCTGAAAGTCACCTCAATGTCACATGGAGGAAAAAATAGATTATCAGGAGTAGTCAACATGGATTCACGAAGGGCAATCCTGCCTGACCAACCTGATAGCCTTCTATGATGGCACGACTGGCTGGGTGGATGAGGGGAGAGCAGTGGCTGTTGTCTACCTTGACTTTAACAAAGCTTTTGGCACTCTCCCACCACATCCTCATAGGTAAGCTTAGGAAGTGCGGGATAGATGAGTGGACAGTGAGGTGGATCGAGAACTGGTTGAAGAACAGAGCTCAGAGGGTTGTGATCAGTGGTGCTGAGTCCAGCTGGAGGCCTGTAACTAGCGGTGTTCCCCTGGGGTCAGTACTGGGTCCAGTCTTGTTCAACATATTCATTGACGACCTGGACGAAGGGAGTTTGCTGATGATACTAAACTGGGAGGAG